AGCCCGTTCCATGACCTGTCACAAGCCCTTTCAGAAGTCCAGTCTCAAGCAGAAGGATGACCAGTGACAAAGGAAGGCTCTTGTCACAAGTCATTTGGATAGCCAATGACTGGATGACATGATATCAACTATGTCCTCAGTACTTTCAATCTGTGGCAGCATTGCCCGGCAAAGACAGGTCACCAGTCGAAATACTGTGTGAAATGAATGCCGGTAAATGGTTGCCACCAGTTTTCCCGTCCAGGTTTGTTCTGTCACTTTGGGCACTTTTTGTCACAGATTGACATCTGATCCCTAGAATCAGAGCTTCTTGGAGTACTCGAGTGCAAGAAACAAATCGTTTCCCCCCCTGAGAACAACCTTGAACTTTGACCCCTTGCAGGAACTGATGATGCGCAAGAGAAGCAAACTGCATCTTAACGAACGCCACAGCACCATGGTGGAGAACACTTTCTTCTACTGCAACCCTCCGGAGGTCAAACAGGTCAGCCTAGCACGAGCACCAGTCCGTTTCCAGTGGCAGGCAGAAACTGCTTCTCGTTATCCCAGTACTGTGGAAAACTGTTCTTGTTTCCACCGGTGCTCGGATGGATAGGGAAACCCCTCCTCTCCTATGAAGGCTGAGGTGTCTTCTGGATTTTTTGGAGTATTAATGTTTGTACTTTCCACCATGGTCAAAGGGGAAGACCTAGTGCCGTATTGGCAGTCTGGGCCGATTGACTCGGGCCAGGCACCTGTGACCAGTTAGACTGATTTAGTTGGCGCTGGACGTTGCTTGAGTTAATAACAACATTAGGATCAGGGTTTACAACACCGCAACTCTTGCCTGGTCAGATTCAACTGGCATCCACATGTCAAATTTCCATGGCAATGTTCTGCCCTGGGTATCTTGTATTTCTCTACCTTTCTCACCTTCTTACCCTCTCAGGTTGAGAAGAAAGAGCGGCCGGTGATTCACCAGTACATACGCAAGCTTATCTTCCGAGACCTGTCCAAGACCACCACTGAGAAAATCCTGAAGCAACTCCGGAAAATGGACTGGACTAATGTGGAGGTAACACTGAATTCACTCATTTCAGGGTTGGAAATTCCCCACCCCAAAACAAAAGAAGCTTTGAATAGTTCTTCTCGAAGCAAAGTGCTTTTAAAAAGGCTCAAAATTCGCATTGAAAATTGATAAATTTAATCCCAAATAAAGATTAAAGATGAGTAATGTTGTCAAAAGATAAATGAATTAACTTGATCGTCCTGAGTTAGTGCATGGGGGCAATATTTCCTTAAATCAGCTGGTTCCCCTCATTCAAACAGTAGCATTGAAATGGCAGGTGCATGTGCGTCGACATTGTTGCTTTCCCCGGTTTCATAGCTGATTTGTGGTTGAGAGTCCAGGAGATTCTGACCTGCAAACTCCAGTGCAATTTCACAGGTGTCTGAATCCTGTCTTCATTTCAATGTCCTCAGATCAAGACCTACATCACTAAATGCCTGGGCAACGTGTGGAACGTCAAGTTCAACAACATCCACTGTGTAGCCAGTCTCCTGGCCGGTCTGGTACCCTACCACGATGACGTGGGCATACAGGTTGTGGATGCCGTCTTGGAGGACATCAGAATCGGCATGGAGGTCAGTGAGGCCTCGCTGGTCCTAAAACTTCCATTAATTTTTCATGTTGGTAATATTCGCCATGACTTTCCCTTTATTAGTGAGGGTGTCTTATTTAATATGGCTGCGGATATTACCCTTGTAGAATCATGATCACCTCAACCTGCTTCGCTGTCCACAGAGTAAAATCGAGGTTGTTCAAATTACTCAGAAAGGGAAGCGTAATTTACATTGAAGGGAGATTGTTAATGGTTGGACCAAAGTTGTGGATTTGAAGTTGCATTAGTTCACACTGAACATTGCCTAAAAGCACGCTTTTCGCGACAGTTGTAAGAAGATTTGAGTTCGTTGACTGACTGCATAATCCCACATCCATCCTATCCTCCTAAGATCAACCATGCCAAGTTCAACCAGCGCCGTGTCTCCACCGTGAAGTTCCTGGGGGAGCTGTACAACTACCGCATGGTGGAGTCGGCGGTCATCTTCAAGACCTTGTACTCCCTGATCCGATTTGGCATCACCCTGGACGGTGAGGAGACTGAGGCGGCATCCAAATCCGTTGTCTAGAGCTAGGTCTAGGACTTCGCTCCATTGGAAATGCGTGGAGACGCGCAGACAATAGACCTAGCCGTAGCTCTGGAAGCCCGTTTCGGACACGGCCTTAATCAGTCTGCAACAGCTACAATGCTGCACTTACTGTAGTATTTTAATAGGCTTAGCATTTCACAGAAGATACCTGGTTTATGATATCACCTACCTTCTGCTATGAAGGCTTAAATGCTTTGTCTTAAGCTGAATTGCCTTGAACATTCCGGTTTTGTGGAAGAGCACAAGTCAGACCATGAACAGTGAAAATTGGGGTTTGGGGTTCTCTCTCTCTCAGCCCATAGACTCTCAAGACTGCAGAGTAATATTCCTGGTTCCCTGGACATAGTTGATGCATATTCTACAAAGGAAAATCAAACGTTGGTGAACCAATGATTGCTGATCCGAACCGGCTCTTAGTACCTGTTGACACAGCATCATGTGTAACCGTGTCATGCCAGGGATAAGAAAGCTATTCCACACATCACATCCGAAATTTGAACACCAGCCTTGTAATTCTCAATAAGATGCCGTGTTGACTGCCCCCTAGGTGCCGAGAATCCTCTTGACCCTCCGGAACACCTGTTCCGTCTGCGGCTGGTCTGTACCCTGCTGGACACCTGCGGGCAGTTCTTTGACCGGGGCACCAGCAAGAAGAAGCTTGATTGTTTCCTGGTGTACTTCCAGGTAGAGTACCCATCCCTAAACCTGTGAACCCCCTTCGCTACCCCAAGCTTACCCTGCCCTACCCTACCTTACTTTACCTCACCGCGCCTTTGAACCTTCAACCCACTTCAATCCCACCACACGCCCCAAGAAAAAAAGCAACCAGCGGGCGACTTTCCTTTTCACCTCCTCTGCTTTGAAATGATTTTGAAACATTAAGAAAATTCACAACTTGAATGAATTTGACTGATTTGTGAAACTGGTTCAATACCACTGGATACAAGGAAATTGTACAGTTGGCTTTGATTTCTTAGTCAAAATATGTCAAACTGAAGAAAATCGCACAGGGTACTTTACACTTTCCTGAGATTTTCATGAGAGTTGAGAAGTTCTACAGTGTAGAAATTATGGGCTGTTGATAATCACTATTGATGATTGCTTTTAATGATCGGTGGTTCAGTTCAGTTTCTTTATGTACATGTCTCCCACGCACAGCAATACATCATGTACAAGCGCAGTCTACCCATATGGAACCCGCTGGTCCACCCGTTCCCACTGGACACCGACAATGCCCTGGCCGACACGCTGGAAACACTACGCCCCAAACTGAAGATCTGCACCACCCTGGAGGAGGCTAACGAGGCAGTTGCCGAGCTGGAGAAGGAACAGGTCCAGAAGCATGGTAAGGCCCATGGGGGAGTCAGGACTTCAGACAGTGTTGAGGCTACAAGGTTGTTGTGGTGTTGATGTTGACTTGGGTTTTCCCCCAAATCTCAGCTTCACTTCTGTCGTATTTTTATTGTTCTTAAACAGGTGGTGTCATACAGATGGCGATAGCATCTGTCAACCCCCAGCCACATGGTTCCCCGCAACTTGGCACCATCACTGAAGGCGACGAGACCAAGGCTACTGCAGGTACCAAACTACAGTCAGACTGATAACTTAGAGTGGGTTACAAGTTCAAAAATTATTTTGAATTTGAATTCTGCTTATCATCTTGAGTGGTTTAATTTGGCGATCAATTGTTGTCTCGGACTTGCTCAATGAAAGTGTACGTCATTATGATGTCAACCAGTCAATAACTTTGTGAAGAATTTCAATTTTCACGCCTCAAATGCTTGAAGCTTCATTGATTTTTATAGTTGTGGTTTTTCTATGCTTCAAGACTTTAGTGTTAAAAAAAATCAACAGTTGCATTTGTTTAGTTTGATGACAGCGTTTAAAGACATACTCAGGGGGAACAAAGCCACCTACTTTTTTTGAAGCATCCTTCTCAGAAACAGTTCTTCAACGTTTACAAGGTCTAGCCTGTAGACATGGTTCCCAGTGTCCGTTCTTGTTAATTTGTCATTCTTAGCCGTGGAATTTACCAGCATCACGGAGGATGAGGAGATCTCCGACTCGGACTCAGAATTGGAGGGCGTGACTCGGCGGGGGAGCGAAGGGGGCGGAGAGGGCCACACCTCCAACAGCCAGAGCCAGGGGCACAGCCAGAATACCGGAGATGAAGAGGTGATTTGAAGAGCGGGCGCTCAGATTGGTTTAGAGCAGGAATTTCTCCAAGCTGCTAAATGTAGAATTGTACAATGCAGAGAAGGTCACTGGCAAAAAATGGGTTCCCAGCCAAAATGTCACATAGTGTACATTATGTTTGACACTGGTTCCCAGCTGATGTCTGCTCAGCTCATAGGTTGACTATTAAGCTATATTCTCTGAAAATTTGTAGAGCTATCATGTACAGAAGTTTGCTGAGCACACAAAATATATGCTTAGCAAAAAAATGGTTACCTGCCAAAGTATCATGTTAAGTACATTACCTGAAACCAGTCCTTTTTCCCATGTCTGTTTAGCACAAAAACTTATTAAGCAGTGTTTTCCGCTTGGTAGCTGGATGAAATAAGCAAGATATGCAGTGCATCATTTTGCAATTGCTAAAATCAGTGCAACGAGGTCGTATCTTGTGTACAAAACAAAGGCGAGTTATGACCTTGTTACCCTGACACAACGGTATCAAACTTGTAGCTGGCTGCCAGCGCCCGAGTGGCACCTAACAAACCGAGAAATGGAACAGGGGAAGACTTTTTCTTGCGTTTCAAAATATCTGTCAGTTTTGTGTTTGATAGTGTCCCTCCAAAAGGGTTAGTTTTCCACCATAAACTGGGAAACTTGGATTTCGGTTGATGCAGGTGGCAGATGACCAGATGGCCCTGGACTCGGCAGGCGAGACTGAAGAAGAAGACACGGTGAGTCTTAGTTTTGATCTTCAAAGATCGTATCGGGATGAGTTCAGAGCAAGGTGGAGTAAGGAGAGATGGACATTTGTTTCTGCTCTGCTAAATGTTCACTTGAGACACCTGTGGCCGGTGCAGCTTACAAGCACAAGGATGTACTTCTTTAACCCCTTCAGCCCGGGAACCGTCAACAGCTGCGGCTTTGTGTGAGGATTAGTGCATACCACACATACAGTCTATTTATCATGCAGCTGCGGTTTCAATGGGGCCTGCTGCTGGACAAAGCTTTGCATACTGGGCATACCGCAGCCTAGCAAGTCGCGGTCAAAAGAATCCCGGCGTAAAGGGGTTAATTATCTAAATGGCACAGTTTACACACGCTCCTTATTGGTGACTTCTTGTTTTCAATCAGGTGACTGTTTTGACAGGAGGTCCCAAGCTCATCAAGTGTGAAGAGGACGACGATTTCACGGCAGAGTTTGACAAGATGCTGTCAGAAAGCGTACAGGTAAAAACCTTACACTTTCAAAACCTCATGCACATTTGTCAGCCTAGCTACTTATTTCATTTCTCACTGTTCTGTAGTGTCAATAAACCAGACATGCTGTGCTCCGACTTCTGTCAAAAAGTATAAATATTTCATTTGGTGCACGATATGTGGCAAAGGGGACCCCCCCATTGTGTCTTTTTTAGGGTTGAAGGAATCTTTTAGAAATTCTTTCAGATTTCAGGGGGGGTGCAGTAGGACCAATAGCCTTAGGGTATATAGCTTGTGCATCACATTAGGGGGGGCCCCCTTTGCCACATGTCGTGCTGGATATGAAATATTTTCTTGTGTAAAGACTGTTTCAGCATAAATTAAGCAGAAATTCCAAGACTATCTGATTTAAAATCCTCATAAAATTGGGTTGTTATTGATATGACTTATGATATATCTTCAGTACATCCAGATTTGAGGGGTTTTACTCTGGGAGGGATTGAAACGATACTACCAGGGATACTTCAAATCATAATCAAGTTGTCTTGAGTTAGTCGTAAGTCATTCAGTCTTAAGCCAGGCCATAAGCTATTCAAATGAATTGTGCTAAAGGAATGTTTATCACATGGTTATATCTTCTTTCGCTTGTAACTAAATTTGTCAGGGCTTGTGACTAATTCCATTATTCCTCTTGATAAATATGTTCAAATGCTTCAAACACGTACAAAGTCTTCTGAAAAATGAAGGTCATTGCATGAGGGAGAACGGTACACAGTTGTGGTTACGCACGAAAATACCGGCATGAACATGCGAGTATGAAGTGCCACATTGTTTTTGACATCTGTTTTCAGCAACGCACGGTGGACACCATCAAGGTGCCGCAGCAGGAGATCGCCATCCCCGCCCAGGCCCGGCCCCGCCCCAAGAAGATCATCTTCGACATCTTCAATCCAGACAACAACGAGGACGACAACGAGGCCGAGCAGCAGGCGGACTCGGTGAACTTTGTGCTGATGATGCGGCGCGGCAACAAGCAGCACTACCATGAGTTTGAGGTGCCCAAGTCGTCGGACCTAGCCGCCAACCTCAGAAACAGGGAGAGGGTCAGTCTCAGAATTACTTAACAACTTCCTTTACCTACGTCAGACAATTATCTTGGACACTGCAGAATTTTTGTGTTCAAAAATATGTCAAGCAGTACACACTTGAAATTTGTCAGTCAAATAGGTTAGAATAAAAGCCTAACTGGTGACCAATGCAGTCCATGAAGTTGAGAAGTGTGAGAAATGAACAAAGTCCTCTGATGCAAAGTACCAGTGTTCAGCAGTGAACCGTTGAGTCCTTTGTTGGCAGTTTTTGGTCTCATCTGTATCTTGGCTCGTGGATGGATGCTACGACCGCATCCCTAGGACACCGTGCCACACCTTGCTGAAATCACTGATCGAAGCCATGTTTGCACAGCCATAAAATGGACAAGATGTGTCTCTAACTATAACCTGTGCCATTAAATAAACGATTAAAAAAAATCACACAAGGAGCTCAAACCAACTTTCATAGTATACATAGAATTCACTGCATAGAATTAAAAAAAAAATACCATTGAACTACCAGAAAATTAGACTTCGCTTTGCGAGCTCACACCGTAAATACAAATGGAAATTTATTGTTTACAAGTTACACTGTGGTACTTGCTGCAGCTTGAGCTTGCCGAGAAACAACGTCTGAAGGAACTGACACTCACCATCAATGACAGACAGGAAGAAGAGGACTATCAAGGTAGGTATCCCAGCATCCTTTGCTCTCCACCCTCGTCTTTCCCACCAAGCCACACCCTACCCTCCAAAGTGATCAATTCTGCCAATTTGGATGAACATTCAGCGTGTATATTTCTGCCCGAGTCTTCGTCATTTGCAAGTCTTAAGAACCTGGACTACTCTTCCGTTTTGTCGTTATGAGCACAAAATTGTATTGTCCTATTTCTCACTCCTTCAAGCATGCAGGAAACCTGCATAAACAAGCAGTGTTTTCCTTCCAAAGAGATACCATTGATACATAAAAACACACCATCTCTTGTTCTTGCAGAGAGCAGATTCTTCATACTTTTTTGTTGCGAAGTGCTTCCCTGACGTTAGCTGCTAGACAAGTGTTCAGCCTCAGAAAGGACATTATACTTTAATTTAACTGAATTTTACTGTTATTTGCTGTAACAGACGTCAACTAAATTAAATGACTTCATTGGCTCCGTAATGTTCTCTCGTGTTGCAGAAATGATGGCGCAGTTCCAGAAACCGGCGACCGTCGTGACCCCCATGACCCCCAAGGAGCGTAAGCCTAAATTTCACCATCCCAAGGGTGCCCCCGACGCAGACCAGATCTTCAACTCCTCGGGCAATCGCAAGTGGTGAGCTGACGTCAACTGCACTGTAACAACAAAGAGGCCCAGAGGAGAGGATAAGGGAAGAACAACGCACAGTTGAGGAAAGCTGAGGTTTTATCGAGTCAGTCGGCCCGCAGTTCTGAAGAAAACCTTTCAGCAGTGTAAAGTAACTGTAATCGGGAGTGGTTCGTGATGAATTTCAATCACCGACGTTGACCCTTGTCAAATGTCTACTCACGTTCTAGGTGGCTTTCTGTTGACTTGGCAGCATAATTCTTATCGTTCTAGAGTTAAAAATCTCTTGAAGGTCTTTTGCAGAATCTTAAAAGGTTTTCGGCAGGTCCCACTTATATCTTACCAGCAAGTGTTTACATCAAGGACTTGACTTAACGTGAGTTCAGATCGAAACTAACGGCTACGATAGTATCGATGTCAAAATGACTCGTGAGTTCTGAGAGATTAGGAAGGTGGGTTACATACCTTGTGTTGAGTCTGTTTGTAGTAGAAGCCTTCATCTGCAGCTCCCCCCATGCCAACCTCCTTCCCCAACCAAAACGAGCTACTACACTAGAAAAATACTTGCTCACCATTTTCCCAGGTAGTTTTACTGCTTTGCAAAAGTATCTAAAAGATGTTAGCAAAAATAGTCGCTAAAACAAAAGAATTGAACTCAACACCCCCCCCCCCGGTCATTGATGGTGTGTCATAGTTCCTGATTTCTCTCATTCTGGTTTTGCTTGCTGTCATAGCGATTCAGAATTCAATTTCAGATTACAGAGTCTTTTATTCCATTGAGCTTTTTGAATTCGAAAGCCCAGCAGACAGACCTGTGATTGTGGGTAGTGAACTTGACATGACTGTGTGTTGAACAGTACCTCTGCCAGGCTCAAAGTCTTAGATAACAGAGACTGTAGACAGAAAGGTTTTCACCCATATTGGGTTTGAAAAGATATTGTCTGGCAGAGCTGTACATGAACCGTATAGACACTGTGCTGTCAACTCACAACAGTCAAGAGATAGCCCAATCAAGGACCGTTGCCTGATTAGTGGCAAGCTAGTGTCGTACATTGTGTCTGCATGCTAACATTTCAGCCAGGACACCTTTATATTGAACCACTGTCAGTCCAAATCATGGTGACTCACTTTCCTGGTTCCCTGCATTAACATCTTGATACACCAGCAATTCAACTGGTCTCCGTCAGCCAGTCCAGTTGAGCAGACCAGTCATTCTAAATGTCAACCTAGACTGTGTATTGCTTTACACATGTACGTGAATGGCTTAGACTGGTGCTACCATTTTTTTCATTTTAATACCCACACATCCTTAGCTTCCGTGCACGAGAACAAGACCCCCAAGTTAATAAGCAAAGCAGTAATGTAGCATTAAGGCCCCCTCCCCCCGATTGTGATGCATTTCCGGTTTCTTTGCTATGGGTTTAGTTACGAATCCGTACTTTCCTTTGATATTACAAGCAAATTTCCTTTCATGGTTTTAAAGAGCTTGTCAGAAAATTGAGAAATATGGCACTGCTGCTGCAGGCTTGTTTTCCTAATGAATATTTTCCTTGTTTCATGCCTTCTCTCAAAACATGATTTTGTTGTTGCATTTTTCCTAAGAAAAAGGAAAGGAAATATTTTTATTTTCCAAACAAAAGATTCAATATGTCAACAAAAACAATTTTGCCTTTGATGTTTCATCATCCATTTCCGTATCATATGATGTCTGGATTTTTTCCTTTCTGTTTTAAAGTGATAAACATTTTTGCTCCCTCCCACACCTCGGTAGACACTTCAATACTTCATATGCCAAATTATTGGAGTCTTTAGCATTTGTTGCAAAGCCTCCTGGGCTTAAATCTGTCGGATAATTATTGACTCTGCGCAAGCACATGAGGGAATGAGCATTTATACCCATCATTCCCAAACCAGGCAGAAATACATGAAGGTCGTTCCCCCTTTCTGTTAATTTTCATGCGTCACAGTAATCCAAAGTAGAAAGAAGTTTGCCTATTAAGTTTGGGTAGCTACGGGCAGTGAAAGTGGCGGAATTGGCATCGCTCGTGTGTACACTGGTATCATTTTCCAGGTAATAGTTAATCATTTCTTTAGCCTGATTATAGCATTGTGGGTCGCAATTTCAACCAGGAACATTCCCCTTCTAGGCACAACGCCACACGTGCGCTTGATGATGCTCATCTGGCACAGGGTATGTTCACCCACTTTTGCAAACCTGCAGAGCGTTCTAGTGGGCACTCGGTGCATGGCACCACTGGCTTTTATTGGTCACTCCAGCCTTGCCTGTTTCTCACCGTAGAGGGCACTTGTGCACGGAGCAGCTACTTAGACAAATGATGGCCGATACTTTTCTGTATAGTTGCTATGTAGAAGTACCCACTCACCGACAATGAAGAGAAATGCTGGTGGGGATTTATTTCATCTGGGCTGGTGGCGCACACGGAGACGGTACCTCGCCGCCGAAAGTGGTTGTGCATGCTTTGCGCAGCATGTGCGCGATGTGCCCCTCCCACCAAAGGGACATTGCTGCTGTACCAAAATATATCATCCCTCTTCGCTTGCAGAGACCACCTTTACTCTTTATTTCAGGTGCAATTTAACCCCCCCCCCTTTGGGTTCATATTGAGCCAAGCTCCGTCTGTGCACACTCTCAGTATTGGAAATTATCCATGGAAATTGATTGATTTACTACTGCTTCTTTGTGCAGGTGGTTGGACCTACTTATTATCTGTCAGTTCATTAGTTTCAAGGATGAGCTGGATATAAAGTGTATACATTAGGAAAATGGCAAAACTTGAGTTCTAAGTTTCCAAAGAATTTCTGCAGACAAGATTCTACAGCACGGTTCAATAAACTATTGGAGTTTGCTATTCACAGACAGTCTGTTTCAGTTTTGTGTAGTCTGATTTGCATTTCTACCAAGTTCGCTTTCGGATTTTGGGGGGAAAATGTCCACAAGAAGACGACCAACCTTCAATCTCTGGACCACCGAACCAACAGTTTGTCAACAACACCAGTATCGAGAGAAGGAACAGAGAAACCATGTTCGGTGACAAAAAAATTTTAGTTTTTTTTTCTTCAAGTTAATGATAAACATTCAGATCTGTCAAAGAAAAGAACATTTACAAAAAAAAAAAGGATATTGAGCAGTTACAGCATTAAATAGAACTATGCATTCAATGAACTTATTTTCAACATAAAATTGGGATAAAATTGATGAGTGGCAACAAAACATAATCGTTTATGTAGAGGCTACAGTTAATGCAATTGATAATATGTTAACATAAAAACCTTCACTGACCAACATTTGAATAATAAATTATAAACATTCACCACGTGAAAGAAAATATTAATACATGTATTCTTTGCAATATTTATCAGTTGCCAGGGTTATAGGAGTAAACATTTTTCTCTCTTATTTTAATCTGTAGACTGAAAAAATTACTTCCCAATTGGAGCATTTCTTGAATACTTTTTGGCATATTAATTGCAAACGCATGCTAACTTTGTGAGTGATTTTCAACATACATCCGTGGGTTCCGGGAAAAAAAAAATCATGAGTTTACCCAAGTTACATTTTTAACCTTCCCAAAGTTACCAAAAATCTCCATACTGGGTAAGAAACCAATGGCCTGGACAGACAGGCAGACTTACTACATTCCTTTCTTCAAAATCCTCTGAAATTTGGTAGATTTTCAAGGATCTAGGAATATTGGAATTAGAAGCAGGGTTGTCTTTTTTTCCCTCCATCATGGGCCCATTTCACGGAGCATTTTAAACCAAAAGAACCAGTTTGCGAATTCATTTGCTGCACAAGTTTCATTGAATATCAGTCGAATGAACTATAAATCGTGCCATTTGACACAAACCTGTCTGTAGTTGAACACAAATCTCAGCTTGGCAGGCAAATGATAAGCCCATGACTTGGATCATTTTCCTCAAGTCCTTCAGCTGAGAGAGGCGTTGGACCTGATTTTTTCTTTGTTCTCCTTTTCCACCACATGCCTCAAAGTAGACGCAGCAGATTGTTAAGGCTGATGTTGCTAATACAGCTTTAGAAAAAAGTGCAACTCAAAAGACATTTGTTTTTTTTTTCAGGCAAAACGCTTTCAAAATACATCTGCTTAATGAAAGCACCGAAGATCTCTTTGCCGGTGAAAATTTTCGCTCGGGTAAATCTTTCTCTGCTGCTGCTGCTGCTGTGAAGTTGAAGTTAGGAATCCTTCAAAAGATAACATAACACTTTGAAAGAAAATGCCTGATAAATTAAATCTGATAATGCCATTCTTTCAGCCGTATTGGAAAAGAGTTTTGTTCCTCCTTTCAACATAATACCTGAATTTTCCAAAGAAAAAATGGACAAAATTAAGATCTAGGGAGTGTTGTACTATCTTCCACGTGCATGAGAAACCAAAGGAAATGTTTTTGATCTATCAGAAAATCACTTTCTACAAGTATTATTGTAATTTATACCTGACCAACTTGGCTACTATTAACTGATCTTCCCCAGAAAGTTTTTTTTGTTGAATTTTTACAGACGCAACAAATTCATCACTGATTTTTCCTTTCTAGTTTGTTATTATCATTGTTCTCTTCAATGTCGTTGTTTGGTGGTATCAGTATAAGTGAAGTAACTTTGGCATTTTGCCAAAACAACAGATTTCACTCGATATGGCTTGCAAACTAGATTTAATGACACTAGCTCTTTGCAAAAATACCCAACCTTCTTCCCGTGGCCAGTCGTCGGCCCATCCCCACAAAATGTCAAACCAGGATCCTTCTTCGCCAGTAAACCGAAGGTGTTGATTTTGACACCGAAATCCACCTTTCTTGAATTCTCTGACTTCTCTGTCTTGACAAAAAAAAATTCAGTCGGCCTTATTTGGGCTGTTGTTCCTGATTATCACAACCTACCCTGCTATTCATCGATTTCCAACATTTTCATTTCAACCCTGATAATCAAATGCACCGTTAATATGACACTACACTCCCCAATATCCAAAACCCAATACATAATTGACCACAACCACATGTTTTTTTCATCTGAACACCAACTGGCAAATGTACAGCTATGGAGAGGGGGGGGGGCGGAGGTGTCGGTGACTGAATTTGAATATTATTTACTACCAGCAGAAGAAAATGATTACAGAGACGATACATGGTTATTTACACCCGGGGGTTTGACATTAGCTGTCGGCGTTGCCGGAGGAGTGATGATGTTTGAGCGTGTCCAGATATTCCTGCTGCGACTGGGCCAGAACGGACGCTAGAATCTCATCTTCTGTACCCCACTCTGACAGAGCTGCGGGGGAGAAAGGCAAGAGTGGATGATTTTTTATAAACAAGGTCATGTGTGCCTAAAGTTACAGAGTGTGCACCTTAGCCGATGCACCTGACTTTTACTCAATGAACTTTAGTACCACTTTTTATGTGATGGTATTTGACAACTTTCTATTCAAGTTTGGCAAACCGACCTTGCATGTAGTTTGGCAACTCTCATATTGGGAACTTTTTTGGCATTAATGGACAAACTAGGGTTTGGAACCCTTCCTAAAATTTTGTAAGGAGACTTTTAACAATCCAAGTGCCAACTACAAGTAAAGTCTCTGCCAATGAGATATCAACATTTGGGGACAGAGGAGGCCTCAGGAACAGTCTGGACTAACCTGGAGACCACAATGCAACACTAGTTCACACATCTAACAGCAGCTTACCTGTTCAAGCTTACCGTTTCCTCTGACTCTCAGATAATTAATATTTCTAGATACCAGCATTTTCAGAGATTTTTTAATTAAAAAAAATTTTAAAAAAAAGGAAAACAGATGTAGAAATACCGCATAGGTCCAGAAAAGCAAAGTGTTTGTTCACTCGTTCTGCCTATGAGAATAACTGATTGACTGACTGATTACCGTATTCCGTTGGGGGTATATCTTGAAGGAGTGGGACGTTACAGGTGGAGGGGGAGATCCCAGAGGGTCCGGCAGGGGGGCTGGGGGTGTTGCGCCCCCCAGCCACCTGCGGGGAGGCCGACCTCTGCTTGGTGGAACCCAGCTTGCCCGGATCTTGATCTGCGGATTCATGGCAGAAAAGTTTGTTTCGTATGCAAAAACCAGTGTTTTGGGTCTGCGAATACACTTACTGTTGCGTGACAGCGTCCAGATCCGGAGGTATAGCCACAGAAAACATCCAAGCTTTGCTCTCAAGGACTGAAATTTGAGATTGGGGGGATCTGTGAAGCTGGTGCACTGATGCATTTGAGTGTCACCAACCAAAGTGGATGTGACAACCATATCACGTTCGGTACTGCATGTAGAAATATTTTTTCAACTGAAACAAAGTCTTCTGTGTTGCAAGGATATTTACGCTAGGAGAAACTTGGGTGCTATTTTTCGCCCCGGGAAATAGGACATTCTTCTGGTCACTCACAGTCCCTCAGGGTGAGCAGATGTGCATGAGTGCCCCTCCCTCCCAGTCCATATGTGTACACTACTGTGTCACTCGGCATGATATATAACCACTTACCACTTAATGAGGAGCCAGCGGGCTTGGGGCTTGGGGGCGACAGCGGGCTCCTGCGGTTCCCCACCTCGGCCCTGTCCGGGCTGTTGGGGCCGGTGCCGGGCCCGCCGTGGTGATGGTGAGGAGCTGAGTGGTGCGATCGGTGGGAGCAGCCGGAAGGGCTGCTCGTGGGTGGGGCGTTGGGGACCTCCCACCAGTTGGGGGAATCGGGAGGGGCGGAGCTGCAAGTGGCGGAAGCTGGCTGGATCTGAAGGGAAAAAGTCAAATTACACAAATAGAAGGTTGGTGGTTCTATCCTAATATGTCCAATCTCGTGATCAGGATTGGAATCCTACCCTGACCACGATACAAATTGGATCTTTCACTCTCAACTAGATTTGGAGATTTTAGATCTCCAAATTGGGGGGGGGGAGTATGGCTCTCATTTGTCATTGCTCACCATCTTCTTGCGGGCTCTCTCCTCGTTGTCTCGCAGCCACTGCATGTAAGACTCCCGAGCTATCTGCTCCTCGATGGCGTCGTTGGTGGCCTCCCAGTCGGTGGCCCGCAGCTTGTCCTCCAGCATGGCCCGCTCCAGCTCCGTGTTCTCCGAGTGCCGCAGGGCCTCCCGTAGGAGGGTCTTGTCTGCCAGCTGGGGGATGTGAGGAGAAACAAAAATTTGCGTACATTTGGCAAAAGTCTGAGGAAGTGGCCAAACGCGACGAGGCGTTTTCAAACCAGACTGACCATGTACCTCTTGAAATTTGGTCTTTCAATAAATCCATGCTTTTGAGGTGCAATCAGAACAGAAAAGAAGAAAATGTGTTCTCAGAAAAAAAGAGAAGTGTAACATAAATTGCTGCTTTAAGAATCTACTTCCGTGATAGCTGGAAACATTTGATTAAATGTGGGCATTTTTGATAGGTCTAGTAAGTCTGCGATGGCAATGCAGCTGTTTAGTCTGCTGACATGGGGAGAGAAATGAGGAAGCGTTTGCTTTTATAAAGAGGAAGAAAGCCAAACTTGTCAAAAGGAAAAAAAACAACCCGAAGAGTCTAATCCGAGAAAATGGAAACACCACCAGGCCGACCTAAAACAAAAAAGTCAGCAAATATCTTATCCCATCTCCTCAACCTGTGAGGGCTTGGAACTCGCAACCACTGAGTGGCTTCTTGCAGTGCTTTCTGTGTTTTACTCACCCCTGGTACAAAGGACGGCATTCCCAGACCTACACCAATGGTGGCCTTGTCGGGGTTGACCACGGAGTTGTAGTGGATGCTGCGATGGTAGCTGACCCGTATCGGCTCGTTGTCCGTCTTGTTGATGGTGTGGAAGGTGTTGATCGGTTCTGGTGATAGGGAAAAAGCAGCGTTATGCTTCACCCTGACAACTGAATTCAAAGTTTACCGGAGCTGAGTAACTTCACTGTCAAGTGGTTTCCTTCCATGAGGTTAGATCATAACATGAGGTCGGAATACTGCAATATATACAAGTGATGAACCACCATCGCTGGGAATGCTATTTTTAAAAGGTAATACGGGATATATTCAGATCAGTGATCAACCTGATGCAAAAACATTGTCTTTTATCAAAAATAATTTACGCTAAAGAGCAAGTTCAACATGCAAATCTATGACATAATGGTAAATATTCACACAAATTGAACACGTCTTGATGTTTCAACATTTTGACGTTTCGTAATGATGTTACAAATTTATGTTGGCAACTTTACACTTCTGTTCGGCTTCACAAATTTCATATCAGCCTGTCTGCACATTTTGCACATTATCGATAATCAATTTAATCATCGATACTCAACCAGCCAGTACAAAGGTCCGATATAGTAAAATTAGTCTGAAGATCATTGCAAATTGCTAATTTTCTCATCGCCCCGTCTTAATTTTTATCATCATTGTCCATTTTTAGGCAGTAAAGTTCCTCTTTCAAACCAACGCTTTCCTTTTGATTTAGTTGTTCCAAGATAATGTAAACTCTTGATGAACATACATGTCACACCAACAACATGTTTACATCAACTCATCTCTTCCTTCTCCTTCATTTCAAGTTCCTGCTGCCGGTTTTTGGAAGTGGTTTAGATACGATATTTCCTGTCTGACAGGATTTTAGTTCAAGCACTCTCTCTTAGCCTTGCAAAAAGACATGTCATTAGTCATTAATGATAATCTCAAGTTAAAAGTAGCATCCCTTTGGGTGTCAAGAACTTTGGGAGGGAGAGGGACTTGAAGAATATTTTAGGCTTGTATCTTGAATTTTATTTGTCGCTCACCAGTACTGTAGACATAGACCTCAATGTTGCGGTTATACATCTCTGAGAGGGCCTGCATCTCTACGTGGTTGCCATGGCAATCATCCATGCGCTTTCGGGCGACGTACGTAGCAAAGTCCTCCGTGATGTATTGCGAATAGTAGTCAGCATTCTTCATCTGTTCCCAAATAAAAAAAAATTTCTGACTGCTTCTCTCTGTTCCCAGAAAACAAACAACAGCAGTGTATGTATAAGACAAAAGATTTTGATAACGTCAAGTGTTTCGGGTCGATATGTCAAGAGTAAGCTTGCCCGAGTATCAACTGTCCAGGAATCATGAATTTCACAGATTTGTTTGAATGGCACGTCTTCAAATTTAAGAACCTGTCATCATATCTTCGGACACAGTGCTATACGTTGTGGTGACATTACCGGTTGGGGCACAGTGTTCTAAGGAAACAGACACCTGAGGGCGCACTCACCATGTAGTCCATGCAGTGAGCACGCACAATACCGTGCCATTCCTGATCGCCGTAAACTTGATCAGCTGAACAAGAAAAAAAAAAGAACACAACCAAAATGTATAAAGCATACCAGCAACCGAGGTGTCTAGGTCTCTCCCCATTTAGAGTCCTGGCAGCACTTCTTTTCCAGAGAGTTATACACAATTACAAGAGCATCTAACTTGCTATGCAAAGTGAAGCCTGCTGGGCACATCCATGTTTGCGCACAAACCAGTGGACAACTCGATACTTTGTACAACTTTTGTATGGCTGTTTGTATATCTGCATTGATCCGTGTTCTAAAATGATGCCCTGTTGGCAAACTTCTCGCACATTTCAATGCCTGCAGGTCACTTATCATTTGAAAGTAACAGAGTAAAGTCTGTAAAATCTCGAAGCCATCAAAATCTGTCAAATTAGACAATATTTAGAAAGATTCTGGTAGAAAGGCAAAGACAAAATAACTTGACGTAAAAATATGCTCAAAATGGCACAATTCTCTCCACGGAGATTGTTTCAGTTCGGTCAATTTGGAACTTTCCTTGCAAGAAAAAATTTCCCTGTCTATCCACAAATGAACATTCAGAGCCTACAATCTGGCATACTCACCAACAGCTCGGAACAGGCAAGCCCCGTCAGGAGACATCTGCTTGATGATGAAATTACGCTTCTCCTTCAAGGCCTTCTCAAACCTTCTTTCATTCTGTGTGGTCAAGATAAAGAAGATAACTCACTGATTTTCATTTTTCTAGGGGTCAATTTTTTGGGAAAGAGTTGCAATGTATTACAAGAATCAAGACTAAAAACTCGCCAAGACAAAAACCCTACTGGTGTTCAACATTGGGGAGTGAGGCTGGTGTAGTGGTTCTTTCCTCGCCTTCCATCTCTGCGGCCCGGGTTCGAATCCCAGCCCGGTCCACATGTGGATTGGGTTTTCAGTCCCTACCTGATTCCGTGGGTTTTACCCAGAATATTCCTCTGGGGTATTCCTCCCACCCCTAAAACTGTAACTGCTTCTCACTGTCTCCTCTCTACAGGTTTCTTTAGACTTGCGAGCTACAGTGCCTAGGGTGCTTTTGAGGAATCCTTGGTGTCATAACCAGAAAACAATAACCATTTCGATCCATTTGAAATATAGACATGTGCATGATTACTGTTCAATATGCTACTTTCACTGAGGAGATGTGTTGAGGTTCATTTGTTTTGGTTCATTATCTCTAATCCTCTAGGCCCTTTTACCAGGAACCATCCTGAATCCTCCAAAATCCTCCGATTTTCAACATGAAAAAAATTGCATTCAGCCAAAATCTTCCAAAATTTCTTGAAAATGTCATTTGGAGGTGTGCTTAACTGCCTGTATCCTTAAAAATCCTCCAGCAATTCCTGTCATTATGTTGAGGCAGTGCGAATGGCACTCTTAAGCTGTGCAGTTGATTCAAAAGAAATATCAGGCTGAGTTTGTGCTTAGCTAAGCACAAACAACATCAGGTCCAATCCACAACCTTCACTCATGGCATCCTTCGAAACCAGCCATGCACTTTTACCATACACCCTGAATTCTCCAAATTCCTCCAATTGGCAGAAAAGGTTTTTGGAAAATTTGGGAGGGTTAGCGTTATGCGTGTGGAACGTTACCAGTGAAGTTTATCAAACATTTCTCAGTCCAATGATTGAGATTTGTGCATCACAGGCCGGTCTATCTACCAGTATATATGGAGAATATGTTACAATTAGGAAGTCATGCAGTCATTTTGTAGACAGATTGGTGTACACGTCAGTTACGTCACATTTGGCAAGAGGAACAGATGTGACAGATAGTGCAATTTTTAGGCCTTGAAAACCAACACCACAAATGGAAATGTTCGACCAACCACTTATTTACTTGGGCAAACTTCACAAATGGGTGAAAACTCTGCCTGATCTTTTTAAATCCACTGGAAGGTTTGGAAGATTTTACAAGATTTAAGAAGGTAGAAACCAGTAAAAATTACTTGAAATCATTACACTCCAACCACTCTATCAGTGGCGGGGGATGGTCTCAAGCTCTGCAAGTGGGGTGGCCCAGCTAGTCATACAATTTCAATGGAACATTTCTCTACTTTCTCCATACCCAGACGAATTCAATAATATGCTATCTTTCACGAAAACATTACTGACAAGTATGGCATGATGGAGGGCTCATGCTTCAAACACAAACTGTAGCACTAGAGAGTTGGTGCTGTCTTCAACTATAGTTACAAGTGCTGCAGTTGGGGTGTAACATGTACAAAATGTACACATGCCAGTTCCTGCCAAAATCGTGGAGGATCTGGAAGTTGACCCAAAAATCGGCACAAAGCTACAGTAGGTCTTAGGACTGAAATCATTTCATCTATGGACACCTCTTGACACCATGTGCACAAATCTCTATTCTGTATTCTAAGTGAATACCTCAATGTTTTCACAACTAATTTGACGGCTTAGGTCATGTTTCATTGCTTTCAGATAAAAAAATTACTGCACAGAAAAACTGGTGGTGTCCATACAGGAAATTCTTTCAATTTGAACAAGTAATGTACATTCATTTGCCTTAAAATGTTAACGATTAACCCTCCTTCTGTTTTAACCGTCAAAAACAGTCAAAAAATGCCTTCCAATTGATTTCCCCCAGTACACAGACACGTATGGGAAATTTGACTGATTTTGACTGATATGACAACTGTGTCAAGAATGCATCTTAGCACAGGACGGCTAAACATGTTCACTGCTTCAGTCAATCACCTCTTCACTATTAAGTGGTTGCGTATCATACTCGTCCCCACTATTACAACCCCCCTCTTCGTTCTCCTCATTGCGTTCCCCTTCTTCCCTCCGGTCATCGTCAACTTTCCCCCTGTGCTGGAGCCACGACACCGAAGCCTGATCCACTCGGTGGGGGGAGGATCTGTGCCTTGCTCGTTTATTCTGGCCGTGGCCCCCATGCCCAACATCTAGTCTCTCCCGGCCATCGAAAGAAGTCCTACAATCGTGAGATGAAACTGAAACGAGTCTGTCGTCCAGCGGATTCGAAGACGGCCAGCGAGGCGGGGAGCTCCGCGTCTTCGGCCGAGCTCCGCCCCTGACCTCTCCAGTTCCACTGTGGCCGTGGGCGCCGTGGGAGGACGAGTGATGACCGTGTCCGTGATCACGGTGATGTTGATGATTTTCGCCCGATTCTGGGCCCCTCTTTTCCTGCGAAGCCTTCTTTTTGGGTAGAATGGTCATTCTGAAGTCTTTATCTCTACCCTTTCTAGTCCAAGAAGGATTTTTGTGGGTGAAATTAGAGATCAAACTGCCTTTTCTGATCCGGACACTCCTCTTCCATAACCAAAACAAGACGAGAATATGGCGCGCAATGCTTTCTGGGTAAAATGTAAATTTGTGTGAGATATAGATCGCATGGCTCCTCGTTATTGATTCTTCACATGCCTTTGTACAGCGTTGTATGCATTCTAGAAGCCGGACGATTGTTTCAACACCATTAATTCAGTATAGCGCCCTCTGAAGTAAGACATTTTTGACAGGGAAAATACAATGTAGATGCCGTTTCCAATCTAAAAATAGTAATTTGAAACTTTTGTAAATGAAAAGGCATTTCATTATCTCATGGTTCCAGCCTTAATTAGTTTAAAAGTTATTTAAAGGTATACTAATGGAAGCTTGCAGATTGACGGGTTTGGGGTGCACGTATGCGTAGGAGGCATTTCTGAGGGTGATCATCAAAGTCGGTCCCCCCGGCCCCGGACTGAAATACCGAGATATGATTTGAGTGCCTACTTTTTTGTACTGCCTACGACCGTCACTGCCCATTTGTAATTGGCATGATCGTCGTTAGAGGGAGCTTTGCAGAGACAATTGGCTTACAAAGTTGAAGTCAAGTTCAACCTTGAAAAGTCACATTGGGCTATCGCAGAGGCCAACTGGCCTAATAACCTAGAAACTCACGGTTTGCAGTTTCGAAATCTCTTCCGTTCGCCGTTGTTCCAACCACATAAAGCACAGCGAGCAAACTCCCATTAACCTATTTTGAGAGGAAATGAATCTAAATTGAGCTTAGAAGACAGTGAACCGTTTGTAATTGTTATTCTGTTGTCATATATGCATGTTGCATCCTCTCTGGCGTCTTTCTCGATGGCCCGCCATCCTGTCAGGCGATACCGATGCCGGGGTCCGAGCTTCGGGGGGTGAATGCCCAGCGTGTAGCCGTACAATGTAGAGAATGTATGGGCAACACTGCAAGTTTTGTGAAGGTTGAGGGGCGTTGGTGGGGAACATTTCGGGCTGAACCGTCACTCTTTCCAACCATTTGAATCAAACATGCAGCTTCGAACTTCGGGGTTAACTGTAAGCGCTCCCGCAAAATGAGCAATAAAGCAAAATATGCCTTCAAGAAATGTCAACTATAGGTAGATGTTTCTCCAAAATTATTGTACCAGAATGATCCGGAACAAGTCACAAAATTTCATTAATTAAGACTAAACTCTCTCACCATAAGTACTTAGTTGTTTATAGAAAGCATGCAAATGCAACTTATTCAAAATCTTGAATGAAAGTGAATCAGGGAATAAACTTGGAGCATGATAAATTTCTACTTCCGACCCTAATCCAGTGACTTCAAGTTGAACACACAGAGTTATAGAAATGTCTCTTTCAATATCGCTCACTCTGGATTTTCCACAAATGATACTAATCTTGAGGTCAAATTTCCTCAAGATTATAAAATACATGAGGACCAGCAATTTACAGAGTGGTTCCCGCGAGTCACCTTCCTATCCTGTCACACGAACAGCGGCGATTATGTAACCAGCCAACGCTGCTTTTTTATTTCTGGTATAAAAGACCAGTGGCCGAACTTAGTTAAGTGTAAAACTCTTGTCGTGATTGGCTAGGAGTGGTCACGTGCCGACTTTCACTGCCTGTCACCAACTGATACAGGCGAACGTGTCTCAACCCCGTCTCCATCAACCTTTTATAGATTGGGGTGTGACAGAGCACCCGACTCTTTGTATTCACGTATGTACAGGCGTGTGTGCAGAAAATGCTACGGAAATCGCACGACGTGATATAGGATTGACAAAACCGAACTTCGGAATCTTTGAATCGTTATCTTATCTCTCTTCCGCTCTTGTTTTTTGAAGCACAATGCCACAAACCTTCAACAGAAGGTGACAACCAGATGACCAGGCAGTCCGCAAAGAGTGCCTGGAGAGTTGGTCCGTCCGAGAGAGACAATCATCGTTTGATCTCAAACATGAGCAGCGAGTCCAGTTCGCGGAGTTCAATGGGCATGAGAGGGGCAGTGCCGCACGCGGTCGGTCAGCCCGGCGCGATGATGGGACCCAGATACCCTCAAAAGGCGGTCAGCATGCATGCGCGGCCGTCAAGACAAAGCACGCTGGGCCGTTCCAGGCACCTGGTCAGCTGTCCCAGATTGCTTTTAATTTGTATATTGTATCTGATCATGCTTGTTGCGCAGTGTTCTTGTCAGAGAGCGAGTTCCTTTTCTGACAGGGGTGCAACTGGGGGGTCGCATTCTCCATCGCATCTACGCAGTGCGGATTCTGACCATGGTGTGGCTGGGACGCAAGAACTTGGCCAGACCTCTTGCAGACTCAGCTCAAACTTTTACAGGGTGATGACGACGGACTGTGTTCCATGTCCCCTGAGTAGCCCTGCTCTGTGCCCGGTGGGGACAGTACCACTAACCGAGGGGACTGGTGACAGGAGGTGTCCCTTTCTGGCGCTGGCAGCATCAGTTATTCCAAATAATATCATTGGGTGCAGTCATCAGTGTCAGGTGTCGGAGATCAGGACTGAGTGTTGCTCTGGTTACTGGGGTCCAATGTGCATGGGTGAGTTCTTTGTTTTTCCATCTTTGTGCAAACAAATGTTGGCTGTTTTGATTATGCCAGCTCCCTTTTCCGCCCCAGCTATTTGTGCAACCAAATTTCATACATGCCTTCTTGAAGTTAGATGTCAGATGGGGAGCTTTATTCATCTTATACATGTATCCTCATTAAAATGGTGAAATTCTTGAGTATTTTGCCTATCCACACTGCAGAAAATCAGCAACATGTACTCTCAAAACTGTCAGCCGCGTGATAGCTTGAACAATCGCAATATGGCTCATATCTTTTCCTGACCCCATCCAAATGAAAGCTGAGCTATGATTGGTCACTGGAATGGAAGCAAATTGGATCATTCACAGTGCGGCTTTCATCGGTCGGTGACGGGAAGCCAAAGGAAAAGATAGGAACTCAACTGTGTTGCGATTTGAAGTGTCACTTCAAATGCCAAATATTTCAGTTTGAATTGCAAGTTTGAGTTTCATTATAACTGAGAATAAAAATGACCTTTCATACCGAGGGGAAAAAAACAGAGGGAGGAATCCCAGACACAGCAAGGAAAAACAGCATGTTAAATGCATGATACATCCTGTTTAAATCCAGAATTTCCTCAGACGGACAGATGTTAGTATCTTCCTCCATGGTGTATCAAAGTGGTCCAGCACTGCTTTAACAGTTGAACACTCACATGCAAAAGATTCATATATGATACATTATGCACACACAGTGCGTAACCTGAAGTGCGCTGATGAAGATGTGTCGACAACTACTGAAGGAGATGACTGGCATTATAGTCTCCTCTTTTGACTGTGAACGAACATACATGTACATGAATGCTGGAGTGTCCCCGTACACTCATACAGTACACATCCATAGGGGGACATTTTTAATGTCAATCAGGCTATTGGTAGTGTGGATGTGCTTGTGTTGTTTAGGATTATTTTAAACTGTAAAAAATATATCAATTGGGCAAATAGCCAGTATTTAGAGCTTGACTGTGATATAATGACATCTGCAATTTTAGTTTTGGGTCAACTGATTGTTTCTTTTCCATGTTGATTTCTTCAACCACAGCAGAAATGAATTTTCGTTGTGATATTTATGCACCCCCAAAGCTCATGAGTGTGATTGGTAGATTTGCACTGCTGACACAATTGTCCTATGCTTCTCGGATTGCCATTTAGAGCTGTCTGATTCAGGGCAGTTTTTTTAACTTCAAGGGAAGCAAATGTGAAATTTCACCATTAGCTTTGCAGAGTATTTCTGCATGACTGACTAGTTGCACTGATCTGCAAGTTGTTCCCCAAAAATGCACATCACAAGCAGTGCTGTAGAATTTCCCCACATTTTAGATTATGTACTTCATGAACAGTTAATTCATAATTTGGAAGTATTGTATACTTTTTGTTGAGTTCACTTTCTTTCCAGTGTCCTGTTACAGTTGAAAAGGCATGATAGGAGAATGACTGAAAGATCCCAATTTCCACACAGTACGAGATTGTGTAACCCCACAAGGCTGCACGCCATCACCCTTTTAAAATTAAGTCAGTTTATTGAGCTGCATTCCTGACCTTGGCATTTCTGTCTCGTGTTCTTTGCACCTCGATCCTGGTTCCATGACATTGGACGAAACTGCTCTGTGAAACCTGAAACACAGTGCAGCCTTTGCGGCCACCAGTCTGTTGTGTCCCAGGTGCTCTAAAGCATTTGGCTCAATCCAATAACAGTGTACAATGCAAGCAAATTGGATCAGTGCACAATAAAAATGTTGGTTTCAGGCAGTGCCAGAAGGAACAAAGTTTGTTTCTATTGGACTAGGAAGCCTTGATACATAAGGAACTCTAGAGATAACCCGAATGTGAAACCATACATAGAGCTCCACATTCTGCATGTGATCCCAAATTTATTCGGAAAAAAGAAAGTCTAATGGTCAAAATCACATACATCTGTGTAGTTTAACATGCCGATTCCATTAGTGAGGAGAAAAAATAAAACACGAGTTTCTGTGTTTACAATGTAAGTACAGAAACTGTAAGAATCTCCTTCTGAATTCCACAATATACATGTCCAGCCTATATTTTCAGGCTTTTAATTAAAAGTTACACCATACTGCTGAATAATTCACAAATATCTTACAGGTAACAGATTTGAGTTAAACATATTTTTTTAAACCCAATTTGGCACCCAATTCTGTAACATTCCATAGCCTTTTCTCACCTTGAAACTGAAAGTCAAATTTGTTCAAACCATTGTAACATGCTGGTATGTTGACCACATTCCAGTATGTAGACCACATTCATATCGCCTACTACTACATCGGTGGGCTAAGTTTCCATACTGGTGATTGATTGATTTGACCCACGGCTTTTTAAAGAGGGTCTTATCCTTTACTGTTTAGTAGCAGCATATTTTATTCATTGTTTGAATTGTTACTTGAGATTTTGTAAACAAGAATTCATAAATACCTGGGACAGTTTTTCTAATCCTATTGGTCAAAACAGGTCACGTGACTTTGTATTTTGCCCACTGAGAATTGATAATGCCCGCTGCGTGAATCACGCACTGGCACATGAATACGAGACAGTTAAATTGAGTCTGATTTGTCAAGAGTCTGTGTGCACATGATGCGCCTCACGTGCGCTAAGTTCATTGAAGGGGATTCTATTGGACAACTTTCAAAAGGAATATACCATAAAATGGACATGGGTGTTCGGGAGAATGAAAGTAAAGTTCTAGAACAAAATCAATGGAAATCCAGCATGGTGACTTCTTTTGACTCTCTGAATAAAAAGGTATTTACAAATGGGAAGAAAGATGTGCTTCGCCAGTCTTAAACTAATGTTTAAGACCTTGCTCTAGAGAGCAAACGCTGATAATGCCCCCACCTGAACCTCGGGCATTGGCCGCGTCCATTCTTTTGAGCTGGTCTGAAACATACCTTTAAGACCGGCCAAGCACATATTTATTTATTTTGCTTTTGTACTATTTGCCTTCCATAGTTTCACCAGCCACTGGTACATGTACATGTAGTGAGAAATATAACCGTGATGCACAAAAAACTGACCCCATAACATATCCATGTTAAAACATAAAAGCGGCATATGTTTGTATTTTTGGTTATTTCACAAAATTGACACCCTTGTTCAGTTCCTCTAGCAGTATCATTGAGGAAAACAAGTCACAAAATACTTCGTAATGTATGCTACATGTAGATTATTTTGTGGAAAATTTTACATTAAAATTGTTTCAAGTCTTTTGTACATGTAGCTGAGATCTTTAACTAAACAAAAAGAATGTCTTTCTGCTTCATTAGTAAGGCTAAGAGTTTTAGTTGAATATATTAATAAATTGATGGGTAGATCAAGAACTTGAAAGTTTCAGTTGACTGATCCAACTAATTAAATGATCAGTAATTTAATTGATTTATTAATTAGTGATCAAAAACATGTATTTTGCAAATGTTACGTCAGTTGACTTGTATTCACATCAAGTGCAGGCATTATTTGGTATTTTTTTGGCTTGGTCTCACCTTGATCAGAATGTCCGGGTGGAGCTGGTAATCCTTGCAATCAGCGGGGGCGGTGCCAGGGTAGCGAGGAAGGGCAACAGTGCCAGTGCAATCCAGCTTTTACTGGGGTGTCGTGTGAACTGTGCGCTAGGGATGACGTCTATGGCCCAAACTGTGATGGAGGTAATGTGGACATTACTAATTTGGTTTCTGAACAAGAGAGTACAGTTACAAAAACGCACCTTGTCACTTAATGTTTGTAGTAAACTGTTTGCCACTGTGTGTCTGCATTTCAGAGATTAAAAAGTTTTAGGGATGGGGATTTTTGGATTAGGGGTAGGATGTTTTGAGGCCAGTCAGTAGCAAAACTTTGCTATCAATGTACTTCGATTCAAAGTCAGTGTAGAACTGTACTGACCAGTATTATTTCTCCTTTGAACTCATATTGCCTGTGATAGCAGTGGTCCATTTGCTTGTATGAGGGAATTGAGGTACTGGGCAGTACAAATGTACTTGAGCTGCCTGGGCTCAGACAATATTGAGGTTGGTTATTAATTGTCAATGTGTGACTTTAATCAACTTTATACTCGTTTGAAACCTCTTATTCCAATTTGTTTAACTTGTTTAATTCCAATTTGTTTAATTTTGTAACAAAAGAAAGATATGAAAGAAAATTAATACACATACAGCTAAATTTTCTTGCTTATAAATAGATACATGTAGTTTAGCCAACTTCTCTCCAATTTAAAAGGAAACAAATTAAAATTCCCATTTAACTTTAAAATATCTGATTTAATTGAAAAAAGTCAGATTTTTTTTATGACAAAAAAAATCAAAGAAATCGCCTGCCCTTGTGTTTTTACTTAGATTAAGTCATCCTGGAATCTAGGTTCTTGGTAAAGTCACAGGGGGCACATCATCAGTTCATCATGCTTGAATTACGTGCACTTCGCAGCCCTGTGAACTGTGTCAGCTTTTTACCATTCTGGTTCTGAAAACTTGGAAATTATGCATTCAAACAACAAAGATCCTTAAAGTTCCCTGAATCAAGAACCGGAAACTCTTACACATCTTTGGTGCACAGTTTTAATCCACATGGCACGTCATGACTACAAAAAAAAACTGAAGCCAAATATAGTTAGTAACCAGAAGCCTACTATCAGGTCAGCTGGTGGTGCATGTGAACGTTTACATACACACTATAGCAAGCTAGGGATATGTGATTTTGTGTGGTAGGCCAATAGCGATACACTGTGAGCGGGTAACATGACTCATTTCTCCTTACACACAACAGACTCCCAAGATATGCACTCACTTACAGTTTAGTTGTTGTGGTCGATATGTATGCATGACCTCTGGGGGTTGGCATACATGTAGGTCTGCCTCAGGAGAGGCCAAAACTACTGTGTAGGAATTATGGAAGGCGGTGCATTCTGATATATGAGGGGAAATGCAGATGACATTACGTTGTACACGTGTGAGGTATTCTCGCGACATCAGACAGGACTGGGTATTTGTTGTAGCTGTGGTCATACCATTGAATTTTGGGGAAGGTATTCAAACAGAAAGTCTGATTGATGAAAAAGAAATTGAGGATATATGTTACAAGGACACAACCTTGCTCCAGAGGATATAGACATCATGATGGCTTGCCGTTTCTGTTCAATTAAAATAAAAAGGAGATTTGTACAAGTACGTGTATTGCAGCATAGTGATGTCGGTCCTCCTTGACTATTGCTTGTACTTGTACATGTACATACTTCCATCAAATTTGCTCAGTCCCCAAAAGATTACATACGACAGAACAAAAGACTTGTACTTGGCCTCCTTCACCAGTAATGAGGGAGGAAGTTGCAGAAAGAAGTAATATTTGAAGTCACTTGGTAAGCCAAATGGTAAACATCTGAATCAGAGCAGTGCTTGTGGTCAAGACCTCATAAGACCCTGCGGGAGCAGCACAAGTTCAACACAACATCTCCACTCTGAATTCAAGTCACAAACTATTCGAATGAACTGCAACAAAAGCATAGTGGTTTTTTTTGACATCCACCCTGTGACACGTGACTGGTCTTGTGGTCAGCCTTACATGTATTTCTAGTTTTGTAATGGTCCTGACAACATCAGTATATGTACCAGTACAACACTGAGACAGAAAATTAGGAAGTGTGTCGAGTCAATTAGGAATGGGTGTGCATGCACAAATCCCCAGGTCAACAATTGGAACAAGCTCCCGCACGGATGCTATACCCACAATCCATTGCATATTTGTTGACATTGCATTTGTACAGACTTTGTGTCTGGAAGTCGTGGGAGAGACAAAGGAAAGATAGTGTCGAAAGGAAGGAACAGATTTTTGGGGGTCCATCCTGTCCATCCGCCGAAGGATTTTTCTTTTTGGAGAGACAACATAAGCAGAAGAGATGTCCATCTGAGCCATATCTAAACAGTGCAGTTCCTGATCTTTTCTTCCTATGAGCAGGGACCTATTGTCTGGCAAATTTATGCTTCCCTGGCCTTGTGATTTATTGACATTGTCAGATTCACTGGATTTCCCTAGATGGTGATACTATGTTTGGGGCTGGGGAGAATTCTTTGGGACGTTCCATGAGCTTTTTACAAAACTTAAGGAACTACTGGTAACACGGCGACTGTATGCCCGAAGTGAGGAACCAAAGAATTCTGTCTTCATTTTGCCAGGGTTTCCACTGACCATTGTTGACTTGGACTTGAGCAAATCAATGTGTGCTAGGTACATGTATGCGCTAATTTGTCAAACAGCACCCTCTGTGGATCAGGCACAAAGCTTTAATATGAGAGTGCTTTCCCCCTTAGCATACACCATGCATGTGACTAGCCATGATCCACTCTGTGTCATCATATCCTGTCATTCTTGTCTTTAATTGTTTCCTCCTAGTGGGCAGGTAGCATGGTGACAAATATATGTAAGATAAGAAAACGTAAAGTCTTAGCACTGTGTAGTGCATGTACATTGACATCGTGAATGCACGGGGTCAGGGTTCATGGCAGAAAAACAGGTGTTGTAGTTTTTTGCTACTCAGATTTTGTGCGCTCATTTAAATTTGAGTGAATCATTTCATGGTCGGTTTGAATGTGGCAATGCTTTGAATGTCTCTTTTGGCAGTTTGCGACTGTGTTTATGGAGTGTGTGATTCGGGAGCAAGGGGCACCGGTTTCTGTCTGTGCGATGCTGGCTACCAGGGACCCAGATGTGACCAGCGTAAGATTTGCATTTCTTGAAGTACATTCATTATTCCTGAATACACCTGCACATTTGTATCAGTAATACATTGACAGCCCCTGCTTTGTTTAAGATTATAATGGTCAGAGCATGATTTACATATAATTAATGTATTCACCTGTTTACAAGGAATTTATTCAAACCTACAAGCAGATACCAGGATAGTCAAGTTTTTTCCTTTCCTCACCTTGCACCTCTGTGACCCGGGTTCAAATCCCACCCAGGTCGGTATGTGGATTGGATTTTTCAGTCTCTACCCGATTAAAGTGTCAGGGAATACCATTTCGGTGTCGCCTCTCACCTCTCAGATTGAACATTTCTTCATCTTCCCTCTCTTCGTTGGTTTCCTCAGACCCGCGATCTACAGCATACGTGTACGTGTGTGTGGGCATGTTTTTGAGGAAATCTCGGTTTCATTACCAGCAAAAATCAAATGAAAATAAATAAAGGGTTTTCCTTGTGCATTTCCCCTTTGGTAGCCAAGATCAGTTGTGGTGAACCTGCATGCCATGCATTTGCCATCTGTTCACCCCCGGTGACAGATGGACAACCTCCACAGTGCGTCTGTAGTCCAGGCTACTCCGGTGATGGACGGACTTCTTGCGTAGGTGAGTGAGTCCTAATCGGTTGTCTGCATTGTTTTGAAAGTCGTGGCAAAGAGGACCAAAGTTTTTGTATTTCCCACCTTATGCTCTTAAATTCTCACATTTTCCATTCTTAGCTTATGACCAAATGTCTACTTTGGAAAAAAATCTGTAAGTTTTATTTTTAAACATGAAAATGTAAACCTGTCCCTGAAATAACAAACCTACTCTCAATAATTTTAATATGAAAGTAACATACATGTAAGAGATATCTGAGGACATGTCAAGATGAAATGTTAAATGCTGAGGTTTTGAAAGTGAATAGGGCACTGGCAAAGATCTGACCTTTCACACTGGACACAAATGCACTGATATACATGTATATTATATTTGACCCTTTGCAATAGAGAACGATCCGTGCCAGAACCCCAATGCTTGCAGCACCCATGCCCACTGCAACCACACACCGCCGGGGAGGCACACCTGCGAGTGCCTGGAGGGTTACTATGGCGATGGGGTGGAGTGCTACCCAATCAATTACTGCCAGCAGCACCCGTTCTTCTTACCCTGCCGGCCGCCCACTACCAAATGCGTCTTCGATGGCCCCCGGCAGGTGAGTGGTTTTCGGCCGTTCCCGAGCTCGAGGGCGGTTGTGGGTTAAAGCCCTGAGAATCATCCTGCTTCTGCTGTCTGCGGCCTCGGGGGCTCGTGGCTCCTGATGCATTTTGGGTCTTGGTTCAATTCCTACAGATTGGCCCATTTTAATCATTCCGTTGCCTTGAGGTACACTTAGTGGGCATAAGTGGTACATATTCCTCTTCAAGAAGGATGTGTTCTCGTGCTTGAAAATTATCCTTTTTATGAAGTGGATGTGAAATGCTGTAAGTTGGCTTCATTTATGTTGCAGGCATTTACAAAGCCAGCTACAGTTTCAGCTTCAATAAATATTTTACAGACGTTTTCTTCCTCTCCTTTTAATGTCAGACCTCACCACTTATCTTATGCCTCATTCTGCCTGAAACCTCCAGATTTTCAGAAATGCATGTTTTTTTTGTCTGACCTTACTTGCGTTCAGTTTGTATTTATATTTTCATCTATTGTGAGTGCGCGTGTTAAACACTCGGGTTGAAATAGTAATCAGTATGGGGGAAAGCGTTATCATTAGCGTTCTGCTGTGAAAAGCCTGTCTGACCGAGAAAGAAGAATAGTCCTGGTCCCATGAATTTTTAGTTAACGGCGCGAGCGTTAACAAATTGAATCCACGTTATTGGTAGTTTGATTAAATTTTGCCATGTTTTGTTATCTGCTGTAATCACCATGTGTTGGTGATCCAACAGTCATTGTCAAGACGGTCACTAAGACTGTATGAGACTTGTTTGTTGTCCATGCACGCCCCACTTGTGTGTGATTCGACTTCTTTGTCCTTTTTTGACCAGTATCACTGTGAGTGTGAGGAGGGTTATGAGAACTACGTCTTCCCCCTCGGTTGTAGTCGGATTGATGTATGCAGGGGTCCCGACGCCCCCCAGTGCCCGCCCCACTCCGTCTGCACCATGACGGTCGAAGGCCATGTAAAATGCGCATGCCTGGAAGGGTTCCGTGGTGATGGTGAGGCTTGCTATGGTAGTATCATGCAGGTAGGAAAACATTGTCACAGCACTGGAGAAATCTGTCACTTTGTGTATGGGTTTTTTTACACAAATGAATGGACTGGCGATGACGCCGAGGTCAAATGGCTTTTTACATACCTCACTTTTGCCTCTGTCCTTGGCCCTATCTCGAGCTGAAAAATCGCTTACAAATGTTTACTGTGGAATGCAAATGACAATCCTTCAAACATTAGACAATAGAGTGTTTGTATACATTAGTGAATTCTCGTATACGTTAGAGAATGGACTTGTGTGGAGTTTGGAGGGGGGTCTTCCCTTGGAGACAAAATTTGGTAAAGTTGAAGTCAAGATTTAGGGAACACCCAAGGATGTTCAGAGAGGCCTTTTTAGCTGCTCAGCAAGAATCAAATTAGACCAAAAGCTTCGAGTAATCTTTGAGTATTGACAATAATTTAAGGCCAGTTCATACTTCAGGCGAATGCAAAAGCCAGGCAAATTTGACATCATGAAAACTTCGCAGCAAAACTTCGCTCGAGTTGAAATGTGTTCAACGTTGACAAATTTGCAATGCAAAGTATGAACTGACCTTAACACTGGTTGGACTAGCCTCCTCCAGTATTGGTGACGAGCCCATAGAGGTTGTTCACCTTGTTGGCCGTCAGTAACAGCACATATCTCAGTGTAAGGGAGGGGTCGGCTCGCAGCTAGTCTATGGTACTTGTACACATATCATCTCTATGGCATGAGAGTTCACCAGATGAATCATAATGAATGTACCTGTGAAACTCTCCTCCTGTGTTGTGGTCAAGCTCATCTGAAATTCTTTCAGACTTCCTTTCACAGAACTAGTCATAAGCAGCAGGGCGAAGAGTGACAAAGAAATGTTTTATTAGAGTAGCATATGACTTGGTAATATTAGACTGAACGACTTTGGATGGACTTGCTGGGATTTGTGATGGGCTCCAGTACGACACTGCCATCGTAATGGCTCGCGGTTATTTTTGTCCAAGCTAAAGCCGAATCTTCCCCCCTCCAAACAGGTGCTTCGTGATCTCAACAGTGACCCCACGGGGACTCTGCAAGGCTCGTTGACTACAGCAATCAACATGTTTGATCTAGCCATGGGTTATCTGCTGAGTGGCGAGGGGCTGTACACGGTCTTTGTTCCCACCGAGCAGGCCTTCCAGGAACTGGACTATGAAGTGAGCTCTGACAGATTTCAAACTTTTTTTTTTGGAGAATCCAGTAAATATTTGTTAATACACACATTCTCAGAACCATACTGAAATAACCAGAGAAGTGTTTTGGTGATAAATTGTGAATAGAACATTGAAGGATGTACTATAATTGTCCATAGTTGACTATGCTTGTACTTTGGATGAGTTTGGACCACTTGATACACAGCTTCTTGCTGGTGCCAGATTTTCAAAAGTGAACTTTTAAAAGCGTATGCTTAAGTTATTCTTACGTTTACTTAACTGTGTTAATAAATTGCCCAGTATGCCAGGTGCATTCTGTGCATTTAAAATGCTCCTGTTGTCCTGGGATAAAAATCACACTTGTGGGTAAAGGTCGCAGAGCTCAGATGCGTTGACCACAAGGCACAGGTTCAGTTTATAAACCCACTTTGCACCATCTTGAATTTAGTCAATGCCAGGTATTTCTGTTATGTCTTGCTCCATTCCAGCTCAATGACAGAGCTTTCCGAGATGTCGACTTTGGCCGCTACCTGATGAAGCTGCACACCATACCCAACCTCTTGGATGCGTACACGCTGAACTCGACGCAGCCCATTCACACCCTGGCTGGCATCCTGGCCGAAGTCGACCACAAAGACAGTGTATCTACTTACAAATATATAAAATACTCACCTTCCCCTTAAAATACTCACCTTCCCCTCAAAATACTCACCTTCCCCTCAAAATACTCACCTTCCCCTCAAAATACTCACCTTCCCCTCAAACTACTCACCTTCCCCTCAAAATACTCACCTTCCCCTCAAAATACTCACCTTCCCCTCAAAATACTCACCTTCCCCTCAAACACGAGCCCTACCAGTTGCAAGGTTGTTGTGGAGACTATCACTCGACCACACACGAGACCAGTGACAAAGGAATATGATGGTTGCAGTTCATTTGAATAGCTTGTGATTCGGATTCAATCTGGACATCTTGTGGTGGTCTTGTGAGGTGTTAGAGGGGTCCCAATTGCATAACTGAGTTTTGGAAGTTGCCGCTTTTGACAAAAAAGTCCTATTGCATAGTCCCGAGTTTTTTCCTTGTCCAACAAGCTTGAAATTCAGTGAGATATCAAAACTGGACCTCTGTTGAATCTTTTTGATGTGAGGGCAACTCACCTAACCCTCTTCAAAAAAGGAAAACAAAACATCAAAGCAAACAACAGCCATTGTAATTCAAAGCTCTTTAGAACTAACTACTCTTTGGAAAACGGCCATTTTTTAAAAATCTGTTCTTTCACAAAACGGCATTCATTTCAGCTTAACGTTTCACCTCAGTAAGTATTCTGTCAGTGTGATTTGAGAGCTTTTTTTCTTTTCATTCGGCAGAATTTTGACGCACTGAGGTACAGACTTTTTGGTAGTAATAATCGGGCAAGGCTTATCCACACAGACATCCCTGCAGCGAATGGAGTCATCCACATCATAGACAGGGTACTGTACGAGCCAGCCCCAGTAGAAGACAACCGAATGGTCAGTGACAGCTAAACAAACACAAATAATAACAAAAACAAATGCAAAATACGACCCAAAGTAAAATCCAGGCCAGATAATTTGTAACACCTGTTAATCTCCTACATCGTGCTGTTTTTAACAAGATTGAGGAGAGATTGAGGTACATCGTCCCTCCATTGAATTCTGTATTTCAAATCTTAATGCACTGTTCATGTGTTGGTTTGTGTAGGATTCAGTCACCTCTATTCTCGCCTCAAGAAGGAGGTTCAGCCAGCTGTATTCACTTCTGAGGGTGAGCTGAATTCAGGTTTTTTTTTTAATTGGGCAATGAGATTGACAAAATAACGGGGCTTTTGAGTAGAACATCTGTGAAATTTGTTATGTCTCAACTACACCCTTGTCCCCATTGCAGTGTAGACGGGCCCAACTATAGTTTAGACAGATTCTATAGTGCGGGCCTAACAATCTCACTCAGGCTGCATTCACAATCGGGCAAATTTCAAATTAGCTGGTACAGATAAGTTGTGCTAACTGTAGCCAAATATAAAAAAAATCATGCTGACTTTAAGCATGTTTCATGGCCTCGATGCACAAGCAGACATGGAGGTTTTAGCACTTCTGAGCAGAGCCTGTTCCTCAGCTAACCTCTGTGCTAAGCAAAACTGAGCGGAGGGCCGGTCTCCAGCTGCACACTTTTCATAGCAATCTGATTGGTAACCTGTTTTTTTCTGCTAAGCAGTATACTTTTGGAGCTTAGCCAATTTTTGTGCTCATTGACTTTGTGGCGTGGGTGCCAAGTGTTTGGTCTCTATTTCTGGCAGTTGGGACTTCTGTGCTTACTCCTTAGTCGAATGAGACAAGGCTTCCTTCAGCACTGTAAACAGCAAAACAAAATAGTCCCACATCGGCATGAACAGGTTCAAGAACACAGTTTACCACTCCTATGTTTGCTTTTTAACATAGTGCTTCCCCCCCCCTTGTTTGATTTCACTCGTCACCGACATCAAGTCGTAAGTGCATCTGCATGTCCTACCACTTATTTCACTGCCTTTTTGACAGTCACAAACTTGACCCTACTTCTGTCCCTCCTTTTTTCAGAGCGTTGGCATCAGCACTGTCATCCCTCCAGGCGAACCCGTTACAATTTTTGCTCCAGCGAACAAGGCTTTCAACCAGCTGCCCGATGGCGCGCTGACTCGACTCACGTCCCCAGGAGTAGGTCCTCAGTCCATTGAAGTGTTCAGTTGAGAGCTCACAAGCTAATTGCAAGTCACCCAATCGCAAGACAACTGTCAGGCTGCCAAACCAAACTGTAACAAAGGGCGTTCCTTTGTTTTCGTTCAGTCCCAGTTACTCATGACCAGACTAGAGTGTTGTTTTCATTTGATCGTCTTGTAGTTTGACTTGCTGTGGACTCAATGCACATCTCTGCCTCAGTCTTAGTTTTAAGCATCTGCCAAATATCTGCCTTTGGAGATATTTTAGTGTAGTTTCTGTGTTAAGCCCCATCAGCACACGAACTTTCTGAAAAGAAATGGGAAACCTTCAAAATTGTGAAAATCTTTGCAGCTGTAACCTTAGCCCTGTCATGGCCTGACGCTTCCCACTACTTCAGGAGACTTCGTAAGACATAGAAGAAAAAAAGAATGCACAGCCTTACCACTATCGCTTCACGAAACTCAAGTATTTGCCTGTGGTTTCAGCAAGATTGAAGAAGGGTTCTGGCATTATATCCTTGAGTCCAAGCATTGTGCCATCTTGTGGCAAAGTTTTCATGAGTATTAACAGAAATAACAGATGCAAAGTGTCATGCATGAAGTGGTTTCTGTAAGTGTTCTGACGCAAGTAGTTGTCAAAGTTGCTCTTGCTGCTTGTCAACTCACTTGTTCTCAATTTTTCTTGTTTATCTTGGCCAGGGAATACCTAATTTGCGGGCGTTGCTTCGGAATCACGTTGTTCGGGGTGCAATGGCAAGTAGCCAGTTTCAGCGTCTGTGCCTTTGTAACTTATAAAGCCACACATTACCTCGTGGCCAGTGAAGGATGCAGCTTTGGTGATAACAATCAGCGCATTTTGATATCTTTTACTGGATTACCGTGGCAAGCTTGGTGGTCAAGTGGCGCAACGTCTGCACTTGTAGGCTGGAGGTTTGGATTTAAGTCTCCCCCGAGTATGCCTGTGAATTTTGTTTTCACAAGCCTCAAACAACATTAAACACATGGTGTTTTATAAGTAGTTATGACGGTGAAAGGCAAAACATGCTATGAAATGTATTTTTTGTAATAACAGGGGTCAGATGAACTCTGGGCACTATGCCAGTAGAGGCTTTCTCATAAAGTCTTTCTCATGTCTGGAGCTTAAATTAAAAAGTGCCTTGTAGACAAAAATGATAACTATTTTCTTTATATGTATGATATTTCTCATCATAGCATGTTGAAAAATTGTTTCATACTGCTGATATTTTAACCAAAACCTATTATCCGCCTTCCAATGCACAGCTTCTCATGCAGGATCTGATTACAACAGGAGGGGTGACGTCTTTGCATGGGGCAACAACTTACTTTTTCATTCATCGCAATGTGAGTACAGAGGACCTTAAACACAACAAAGAAAGGGACAAGTTTTTTCTTTACTTCATCTGCAAGTCCAAACTTGAGTACGGAGAGGTAACTTAGTAATTTTGGTTAGTAATTTTGACTTGAGTAGGATTCTAACAACGGATACTACTGCAAGTCTGTTTCTTGAACGAATAAATGTACTGAATTTTTACATGTGTAGGGTTGTTTGGTTAAACATTTCACTGACAATGTGAAGGTTATTGTTAAAATGTTCGTAAATAACTATAAGATGACATGTGTCTTGTATCCTGCTTTTCCAGGGCTTAATTAGCGTGGATAGGGGTACAAATGTGACATTTTCTGACATTGGTGCCAGCGACGGCTATATTCACAGCATGGACGGGCTGATTGTTCCCTCAGACATTGATCTGCTGATGTCTCATCGATGTGATAATCACAACCAATCCACGGAACGGGTACAGTGTAAAGTGCAAAAGTACCTTTTCTTGCAATTAAAAGTTGTCACTATTTGCATTCCCCCCCCCCCCGACAGCACAATTTTCGAGGTAGGAGAATGCTAACATTGGTGTTCGTCCCCCATAAAAGTGGGGGAATGGTAATTTATTAACTGCGGAACACACCACACTCGGGAAGTTGAAAGCAGGGCCGAAAGTGCTCTGATCATTGCAAACACGTGATCGCATGTTGTACGGTGAAAATTTCACAAGGGCCCTTCAGGTAAAAACTAGTGATTGTCATTTGAATATTTTTTCCCCCAGTCACTGGTTTGCCTTCTTGTCTGTTTCAGGGGCCCTGCACCCAATGTAATGAAACAATGGTGAGCGCTTCTTGCCCTGTTGGAAGCGTGCCGGTAGGTTGTGCATCTGTTTGTTGGTTACTGTCTCTCGTGAACCACTGTTTGCCAAACAACACACACGTACTACATGTCTCAATTCACTGGCACCAGCAAGGATTCTAGACGTGTTTCTTCTCTGTTCTAAAGACATTTGGGTGACAAGTTAAGAACTCACATCAAACAGTTGCAACCTGCCCATTTATGTTCGGACCACCCAAACACGGCCTCTGACATAGTACAGTCATTTGCAAAAGGTTAAGACCACCTTGAAATCAATTGGTATTTCTCTCACTGGGTCTGCCTTACATTGTCCCATTGAATGATTATTCAACATGTTTTTACAGTGGTACATAACATCAGTTAGTGCTATATTGCTCTGTATGCATGTGAATGACATTTGTTGCAAAGGCAGGTCTTGTATGACATTTTGTCTGTAAGGCAGCATGGGTTAAAAAAACGCCAGTCTAAGTAATCAGAAATAAAGCAGGGCTTACTAGATATTGGACTGTTAACATTTCAAATCATGGAAATAGTTGTTTAACCAAGATACTTAAAGGTCACACGTTGAAACTACACAAGTTGCCTTGATTGATTGGTTTAAGTTTGGTTTTCTTCAGGTTAATGCATTTTGTATGGGTGGTCCTAAACTTTTGCAAATGACTGTATGTTGCCATAGTCCGCAGAAGGTTTAATTTGAAAATGTTGCATCCCCCGTCATCCTCATGTACGTACCTTCCCAACCCGCTCACCCCTCTCCCGTCCAGGTCTACTTCTGAAATCCATCCTGAAGGTAACGATGGGTGCATCGGTACCTGGAATGACAGTGTGTGCAAATGGTGTGATAAGGTTTCCTTTTATAGCTCACATTCCTAAAACGTACTGTTATTAAAAAATAATTGGACTTTTGAAATAATGTGCCAGAAGATCTCCAGTGTATTTGCACTGCTGTCTTTTATGTTCTAGGTCAGTGATACCCTGACACAGATGTGCCTGCTGGAGAGGCAATGGGAAGGGGGAACTATGGTCACCTTGGGATGCCAGATAAGCTGCTTGTGGCCGACGTTGGTAAGTCATGTGTTGGCAGGCTGGGTTGGGTCAGGTCAGGTCATTAGAGAACGGTGTCAAGGTCAGGAGGGGGTGTAGAATCGAAGCCAATGTGGAGTAAGACAGTGCCACAACAAAAAGCTGTGGCGTGTCAGGTTGGATCAGGTCAGGTTAGGTCAGGTCAGCTCAGGTCAGGTTGGATCAGGTCAGGTTGGATCAGGTCAGATTAGGTCAGGTCAGGTCAGGTCAGTATTAAAGGTCAGACTGGGCCGAAATCATGCATGGTTTATGGTTGAGTGATGACAACTGTACTTTGTGCACGAATTCCCTTTGCCATTCTGACTGTTGTGCACCTGACCGGTCATGTCCAAACCTTATTTGCTTGTTCCAGGTTGCATTTTTTGCTGTTTTTGCCCGACAGGTGCCAGAGTGTTGTGATGGATTTTATGGGGAGCATTGCCAACAGTGCCCTGGTGGGTTTGCTGTTCCTTGTAGTGGGCACGGCCAGGTGAGTTTTTCCATCTTGTCAGACATCTTGAATTACTTGGTAGGAAAAGATTTGAAAGTGTAGTAGGAAGAATAGAGTTTTATTGGCCGCTCAATGTATTTTCACATAGGTTTCAGTGCATGTGCGTAATGCCATCATGAATTTGAAAACAGCCCGGCTTTTCCAACCACCATCAAACATTTGAAATTACCTAACAGGTGAACCAATCCCTGTCATCTCATTGGTAGGTTGTTGATTGTGTGCAGTTTACTAATTTGGTACATTCAACCGTGCTACTATTAAAATTAACCCATTGAATATTCCGTTGGACTACACGCACACATTGCACACAGCCGTGGCACTTCACCCAGGCCTAGACTGTTGTGTTAATACACACATGCTTCAGAGAGGAGCAGTTGTGGCTCGTTACATAAACGGACAAAATTTCAGTCGCGGCTCAGAACATAGAAATGTCATGTTTTGCCTCTACACCAAGCTGAGAAAAGGGAAAAGTGACTCGTGCACGAGGAGGATTTATTTAGGCATTGCATAAAGGCTGGTTTGTACTTCGTGCGAAAGCGAAGACAAGTGTGACTTTGTGACGTCAGATCAAATGTTTGTGTTCGCCTCGCTTTCGTATTCGGCTGAAGCATGAACCGGCCTTTAAACAGAAAAGGAATGTTATCATTCGGTCATACATTGAAAGTTCCATTCCAGTTGGCTCCACCTTCTGGAATGAAACACGACATTTGTCACCTCAGGAAGTTAACCTTGCCACTGCACCCCTAAACATTCACTGTATTGTACTGTTTATTACCCATTGAGTTTGTGAATATTCTTACTTCACTTTGTTGTCTATATGGTAGTGTGATGACTTAATACAAGGAACTGGCCTTTGCACCTGCGATGAAAACTTCACTGGGACCGCCTGTGAGCTCTGCAGGCCAAACATGTTCGGCGCCAGCTGTAATCAATGTGAGTCGGTCTTTACCTCCCAATTTGGCCTCTGCACTCCAGCGGGCCACTTACTTGCACGCAAGTAATGAAATCGCTTGAACAAGTTCACTCCAAAGGGTGTCATAGCAGACATCACTCAGTGACCTTGTCTACTAAAAAATACTTTGTAACCCGAAAGTGGCTGTTTGATCGAAGTGTAAGTCACCTCCTCGTTATGCAGTCAGCACAGTAAGTTCTTAAATTGCTCAATCTCCAGCCTGTACGTGCGTCCATGGCATGTGCGACGGTGGGCCCCAGGGTACAGGCCACTGCAAGGGAGGCTGTGACCTGGGTTTCATCGGAACGGATTGCAACGTTCCCGCTGAAGGCTGCGGTCCCGAGGATCACATCTGCCACAAGAATGCCACCTGCGATACCTCAGGCTCTCAGATCAGGTAGCTCTCTCAGAGAGGCAGGTCTAAGTCTTGTTTGACGCTTTGCATTGTGGGTTGGTGTATGTAGACATATTGTTGGCAGGAACAATATGAGAGCAATCTCTTTTTTGAGAAAAAATGTTGGCTTTGAGAAGAGCCGGCCACAAGGGAGGCCTGGACATTTCAAACAATGTGTTCTGTTCGTCTTCAGGAAACCTTCATGATTTTTACTTCGCAAAGAATGACTTTTCTCTTCCATTCTGATATCTTGGAGGAGCTTGATTATTTGTGAAGGAAAGACCTTATAATAATGGTCAGGACAGACCTCGTGTTGCAGCCTGAGTTTATTAGCTTCAACGGTTTCCGTGCTTTGAATGAGAGAGGGGGGTACTTCCCAGAAATGTGTCGGTGCTGATGCTCGGTATGTAAGCGCCTGTGCCAGACACTAATTAACGCATGCTTATTTGTTAATGCATGTCTGCAGCAACCTGTCACTTCAGTCTATCTTTTTTTTTGTCGATATTGATGCTGATCAGATTTACCTTCAGACATAGCATTTTCTTGACAAATTTGGATTTGATGTGTTCGTACCCATGAAGGTGTATTTGCCAGGCAGGCTATACTGGATCCGGCCTGCACTGTGAGCCTCTTAACCCATGCCGGTTGGCCGAACGTGGAAGCTGTCATCGCCAGGTAAGCAAGAAAAAAAGCTGTTTTGAATTTTTGTTGACATGGCTGTGTCGAAAATATTCAGGTATGGTTTTTGTTAGCATGCTCATCTGTTGGATGTGGATTTGGCTGCTTCTACAGTCACATGTAGTATTTCTAGCCGTAGCCAAGTAGGGTGGACGCGGCTTACCAATGGCCAGTGTTGGTTTCATTTTCCTATACCCCTGTTGCACCTGCAGGCCATCTGCACCTACACAGGCCCGGGCACGAGCACCTGCACCTGCAATGACGGCTGGGCCGGTGACGGCTTTGAGTGCGATGCGATCGATCCCTGCCAGGCTCCTGATCACGGAGGTTGTGGGGAGGGAGCCATCTGTGCCTACATCAGTCCCGGAGTGGTAGGATGATTTTGGTCCTAGGTATCAAACTCAAACTAGAGGAGTGGCTTCCACACTGAAAAAACCTGGAAATGCCTGGGCTTTCAGGCCCGTAATTTTCCTCTCCCCCTCCATGAACTATGTTGCAGTTGAGGTGTTACCCTACCCAGAAGTTTGGCCCTTAGATGGCCTGGCCAGATTGAGTCCCGCTCACCTCAGATGCACCTGTGGCTATTGTTCAGTTCGGTTCCCTGCTTGCAACTTGATGCGTCCGTCGTAAATATAAGATAACACTGAGTCTGACTGTCAGGAAGAACCACTCAGATTGATCCATTACAGATTTATAATTTTTTTATCTTCAACTTAGAATCAGTGCTATTGTAACCTTGGTTACTATGGCAATGGCACAGTCTGCGAGCCAATCAACCCTTGCCTTCTGATGACCAACGGGGGTTGCCATGAGCAGGTAATGTCCTTCTAAACAGTACCAGTGATTTTTTGAGCTTCTTCCATCAATCAAAATGTATTGCAAGACTTCACGAATTAGAAGGGAGATGTTTTTATGAAAGTTGGAAAATTTTTTGAATGGTAGTAAAATATTTAAAAGGTAGAAGAAAAGGGAGAAGAAAAGGGGAAAAAACTGGGAAAATGATCCTTAAATATTGGCAAACTATTGGAAGCAGTCTTTGAGGAAACACTTTTAAAAGATGATTACAGTATTGTCATTCATATCAGTAATTATTCTTCCAATGCTTCTAAATCTTTCTGGTATTACTAGGCTGAGTGTGTACAAATGGGGCCAGGTACCAGTGATTGTCAGTGTAGAGATGGATATGGAGGGAACGGTTGGCTGTGTTACCAGAGCCTTCCACTGGTACGTGTGGTTCTCCTTTCACTATTCCATTTTTTAAAGAGCACAGAAGTGAGCCATCGTCTGCGCATACTCCATACTTCTGGTTCAAATGATGTCAGGCCTCCATACTTTATAGAGGTTCTGCGTGGCAGCCATGTTTCCGGTAACTGTTTTTGTCGCAGAGGGGTAGTACGAAAGGTGTTCTCAAGTGTATCCCTGTGGAACAAAAGCTCTTACCACAAAAATGGCTGCCATGCAGAACCTCTGCAGGTGTGCAAGGATTTCTTCTTTTTCATAACAATTTTTGGTTTTTTGATCACAATTTTTTTTCTGCTGTTTCCTTTCAGGAAATCGCTACAACTCCCAGCTTAAGAAGATTTTATGAGTTGATTCAGGTAAAGAACTGTGGATCAGCGTGGCCTATCAAATGATTTGCCGACTAGTATTACCGTATTTTGTGTCACTGAGTAGGGTTGAGATATATTACATGTGACATTATAGAGCGTGAAAGCTACTTTTGCTGTGTTGTTTCAGTGAACATTTGGGGGGGCTCATGTTGAAAGTAACAATTTTGGAGAAAGTGTTCTTCAAATATTTTAAGACTTCAACTCTGTTTCATTTTCGGAACTTTGGATGATGTCTTGTGCACTCAAACATTTGGGAGATCAAGGCTTCTCTCAGAAATGACCATTGTTCTCGTTCATAGTTATGACAAGTCACATGACTGTGTAGCTGTGATAGCCTTGGAAGTGTCCTTAGAATGGTAATTGGAAGGTCAGGTAGAAACACTAGTACATTTCAAAACCTTTCTCAAGTGAGAAATGCACTTTGTACTTTGTTTCAATTGTCACTGACATGCAGCAGTGATATAAGCGATTTCCCTTGGCATTTTGTCAGTTGGCAGAAATGGAGGAGTTCCTGGCCACTGCTCCTGGTCTCACCGTCTTCCCTCCGACCAACGAGGCATTCCAGCACTTTGAGCAGGCCCACGGCGCAGTGTCCCAGCTCAATGCAGCATCAGTCGTCAAGTAAGCACTGTAATTGCTTGAGCACTTTCCATCTCCCTCTCCAGTGTGCACGAGT